TGGCTGACTCACCTTCCTAATCATCGTTGCGCTAGCGAGATCCTCGACTGCGCACGAGGCGCAATTCATCTGCACAGGATGCGATTCAATTGGTTGCATTCTCTCCCTTCCCCCCCTTCTTCACACTGCGGCGGTTCGCCTGAGAGGTCCCCGCTGCTTTGAATTCGGCGCGGGCTAGAAAGGCCTTCAATATTTCAAGGACCCTTGCCCAGGCACCTCATAATCAATATGACATGTGAGTTTCGAGCGTCACACTATCATTATCAGCGCTAGCTGCAATACAGTCATGGCGTCCTCTCTGTCGGACGTGCTGCGTACAGGAATGTTCTTGTTGGCGCCTTTCTTTTGATAGTTATGCCGGCCCACGGTGTCCCGAGGTCTAAGTGTCTGAATGCCTTCATGTCTCGAGGACGCGTCCCATGACAACGTGGATGACGCAGACAGATGGTGATGGTGGTGGTTTCATGATGTGGAGGACGATGATGAAGTGGAGGTCACGGAGGAGACAGCATGCAGGGGCAGGAGCAGGAGGAGGAAGCACGAGACGAGGAGGGTGAGGAGACTTCCAGGTACTGCTAGGTAACAAACTGGCCAGTCTGGGTGCGCAGAGCTGGCTTGGCGCTCAGGCGCGCGACTCCGCGGAGCCGCTGGAGGCGAACTCTGTGATGGCCACCCATCGCAGGGCCCGCGGCGCCGGCAGCCCCGTCGGGACCAGGCGTCGCCGAAGGCGCGCCCAGCAGCTCCCAGGACTCCTTGCTGGTGGCGAGGGCGGCCGCTGCGGGCGCCGCTCCTCGCGCAGCCACCTTGGGCCACGCGGTCGAGGCTCCAGCTCCTGCGGGCGGGCGCGGGCGTCGGCGCGCGCGGGGCACGCCAGCCTTCGGCGATTCAGAGATGGGGCCCTGAAGGTACGGGGGCCTCAGGGATCCCAGGCTGGGTCTACATGGCCCGAGGCCCCGATCGAAAGAACGCAAGCGAGCCGGACAAGGAGGGCACTCTGGTGCACGTACGTGGTCAGTGTCGGGCTGACGTTTCGTCCTTTGCGGGGCTCTGCTGAGCCAAATTGGATACGGAGCATGTGCATGCAACGGTATGGAAACATTGCTCCAACATGTGCTAGAAGTTACAGGCGGCCCGGATTAGTAGGTCGACCCTGCCAGATCAAGGGTACCCTCGTGTCCTGTGTCTTGCGACCCATGCCTCCCGCATTTCTGCGGCAACGTGGCCCTCGGAAGGGTCTTGTGTCCTCTCGCGTGTCCTCTCCAATCGAGTCCGACTGTACACTGGACAAAAACCAGGCCCCGGCCCTCCCTGCCTCAGACTGGGTAGTCGGGGCCCGGGATGCCGCTGGCGGAGCCCAGGCCCTCGGGGCCCCATCTCTGAACCGCCGAAGCCTGCTCCCGGCTGTGTGCCGCCCGCGGGCGCGAAGCGCCCGCATTGGGCTCGGGCCCTAACGCGGCCCCCTCGGGCCCAGAAGGGGCGCGAAAGGTATCGGAGGTGAGGGGGTGAGGTCGAAGTGGAACGGAGAGCCCCCCTACCGGGAAATCGGTTTCGGTTTCGTGTTCGTGCGTGCCGTGCGTGCGGGCGAGGCGAAGCTGCGTGGGCGGGCGAGAAGAAAGGCGCCTCTGGCTGAGGCGCGGCAGGACCAAATGATTCCTTTCCGGGGGCAGGTGGCCCGCGGTGTCCCGCCGGTGTCCCGCCGGTGTCCCGTCGGTGTCCTGATGATGATGATGATGTTGATGATGATGATGATGATGATGATGTTGATGATGTTGATGATGTTGATGACGATGATGATGATGATGATGATGACGGTGATGGTGATGGTGATGGTGGTGATGATGATGGTGTCCCGATAATGAGGATGATGCTGATGTCGACGATGTGGATGATGATGGTAATGATGATGATGATGGTGATGGTGGTGATGATGATGGTGTCCCGATGATGATGATGGTGATGATGATGATGTTGATGTTGATGTTGATGATGATGATGATGATGATGATGATGATGCCGTTGCTGGTGATGATGATGATGGCGGTGTCCCGATGATGTTGATGATGTTGGTGATCCTGATGATGTTGATGATAATGATATGCTGATGAAGATGATGCTGATGAAGACGATGCTGATGGTGTCCCGATGATGATGAGGAGGTTGATGATGATGATAGTGATAATGATGGTGTCCCGACGATGATAATGATGATGTTGGTGATGATGACGATGATGGTGTCCCGATGATGTTGATGCTGATGATGTTGATGATGATGATGAGGTGATGATGGCGATTTTGATGATGGTGGCCCGATGATGGTGATGATGATGTTGATGTTGATGGTGAGGTGATGGTGTCCCAATAATGATGATGGTGATGATGATGATGGTGGCGATGATGATGGTGTCCCGATGATGTTGATGATGTTTATGGTGATGCCGTTGCTGATGATGATGATGATGATGGTGTCCCGATGATGATGAGGTTGATGATGTTGCTCATGACGATGATGATGAGATGATGATGGTGGTGTTCCGATGATGATGACGGTGTCCTGATGATGATGGCGTTGATCATGATGGTGACGATGATGGTGTCCCGGTGATGGTGATGGTGATGATGATGTTGATGATGACGGTGGTGGGGTGATGATGATGGTGGTGTCCCGATGATGATGATGGTGGTGATGATGATGATGTTGATGACGTTGACGACGATGATGTTGTTGATGATGATGATGACGTCGATTGTGAGCTCGATTGTGAGATCGATAGTGAGATCGATCGTGAGACCGAATGTGAGATCGATTGTGGGATCGCTTGTGGGATCGATAGTCAGATCGATTGTGAGATCGATCGAATGAAATAGATCGAGTGAGATCGATTGTGAGATCGATCGAGTGAGATCGATCGAGCGACACCGATCGTGAGATCGATAGTGGGACCGATCGAGTGAGACGTTGGTTCCCCCCCCCCCGAACCTCCTTATCACCCGAAGGGTGGTCGTATAGGTACGCTTCTTCGCACCCCATTTATTGCTTCCCACTATCAAGAGCGATTCTTAAACACGTATACAACTGAACGTCGATTTCTGGGAAATGCCCGCAACTATGGGAAATGAAGGGGAAGACGAACATGGAGAAAAGCAAGTATGGGGAATCCTGTGATCTGTGTTTTTTTATGTGTGTGTTCCTCTGGGCCCCGTTACATTAAGCAACGCTCAGTCGGCGCAGAGCCACACCGCCGTGCGCCTCGCGCAGGGCCGCGGCGTGCGTGGGCGCGAGCTTCTCGCGGCCCTGAGGCTGGGCCCGCGGGCCCGCGTCGGCGAACTCCACGAGGCCGGGTGCCCACCGTTGTGGTCCGCGGCCCTCGCCACGCAGCCAGCCAATCCGTCTTCACCACGTCCAGGGCCGAGCATCTGAAGGTGCTCCGCTGAGTTGAGCCCGCAGGCTCGCGTCGGCGAGCTCCAGCAGGTCGGGTGTCCACGGTCGTGGTCCGCGGCGCTCGCCACCCAGCCAGCCAGTCCGCCTTCACTTCGTCCGAGGCCTGGCACAGCGGATCCCGCTTCATAGCGCAAAGCAGGAGGGGGCAGAGGAGGAGGAGGAGAAGGAGGAGGAGGATGGGGAGGAAGAGGCGGAAGAGGAGGACGGAATGGCCAAGACGGTTGCCAAGAGGGGTCGTGCCAGGTCAGGCGGTCTCATTCTGGTCCCCGAGCCCAATGAGCATAGGATTGCCCGTGTCGGCAAAGGTACTTGTGTGGAAGGTGTCTGGATACAGGTAGGACTTATTACGGTCGTGTTTCCTATATTTGTGTTGGCTGGCCCTGTGTGGCCAGACAGGCGCACCCCTCCCATAAAGTGCGGGGGGAAGATGGTCAAGCCGCCCTGCCCATTATTTTAGTGTGCGCAGTGTGGAGCATATGCTCGTCATCGTGTGCGCCTTCTCTCCAACCCATGTCTTGGCAAGCCTAGGAATTATGATGCTGCAAAGTTGTAGTCCCTGCTCAAGGATGGCAAGGACCCGAGCTCCAGGGCGAACGCTTTCGGGCGCAACATCCCGCTGCGCGGGAGGCACGAGCTTAGCTGAGGCATGCTCTCGTCTCTCGTTGTCTCACCCTACCCTATCTCGTCCTTTTCTTGCATTGGTTCTGCGACATATTGTGGATCCTGCTGGGGATCTGGAAATCTGGAAATCATGAGGAGAAAGAGGAGAAGGAGGAGGAGGACGGGAATGAGGCAGAGGAGGAGGAGGAGGAGGAGGAGGGGGAGGAGGAGGAGGAGGAGGAGGAGGAGGAGGAGGAGGAGGAGGAGGAGAAGGGGAAGGGGAAGGGGAAGGGAAGGAGAAGAAGGAGGAGGGCGTCTCAGCACGGCGCGGGCGTGGCGGGCCCGCGCGCGCGCTCGCCGCACCCCGCGGCCAGCTGCACACGGGCTTCGCTGATCACGAGGAGGCGTCGCTCGCGCCTTGCTGCGGCACCCCCACCCCGCCCTGTCGCGCTCCGGCGGGCCCGGTGGAGCCGCCACAGTGGGAGGGAGGAGAGAGGGAGGAGGAGGACGAAGAGGAGCGAGGGAGGAGGAGCGAGGGAGGAGGAGGAGGAGGAGGAGGAGGAGGAGGAGGAGGAGGAGGAGGAGGAGGAGGAGGAGGAGGAGGAGGAGGAGGAGGAGGAGGAGGAGGGAGGAGGAGGAGGAGGAGGAGGAGGAGGAGGAGGAGGAGGAGGAGGAGGAGGATGAGGATGAGGATGAGGCTGAGGAGGATAATTCGGATGCGGATGCGGATGCTGATGCGAATGCGGATTTGGATGGTGATGGTGATGGTGATGGTGGTGATGATGACGGTGACAAGGACGATAACGATGTCGATGACGATGACGACGATGATATGGTGAGGACGACGATGATGATGATGCCGACGATGATGGTGGTGATGATGGTGGTAATGATGATGGTGATGATGATGACGGTGGTGATGACGCTGATGATGATGACGGTGATTGTGATGGTGATGATG